AGCAGATGATCAAAATGTGGTCCAGCCATGCAATAGAATAGTTTTCAGTCTTTAAAAAGGACAGATAATCTGACACATACTACATCATACAGGAACCACGAAGACATCGCTGTAAGGGCAGTGAACCAAACGCAAAAGGGCAAATGCTGTAGAATTCCATTTACAGGAGCTACCGGAAGTAGTCCCACCCATGGAGGCAGAAAGTGGGGTGGTGTTGACCGGAGTGGGGGGAACAGGGAGTTACGCTTTATTGTCAGTGTGTGCAGAGCTCTGATTCGGGGACACAGAAACTTCTGGAGGTGGATAGTAGGGGTGGTTGCACCTGAATGCATATTTAAAAATGGTTAAAATGAAAAGTTCATGCTGTGTACATGTTGCCACAATTTTAAAATGCAGTTCTTACTTGGTAATTTCTGATGGCCTCTCTCTCTCATACACACACACACACAAACACACACACCCCTTCCCACATATCATCTCAAATTCTCCATTAAATTTGAGTGTTTGGTATATATGTGTCACCTAGAATACTAAATGTAGTTCAAAGATGCCATTATAACAAAAAATAAAGCAAGGGGGAAAAAAAACCTTACAACTTCCCAGTGTTTACAAGATGGCAACTTACTGACAAAGGCTACACACCAGTAGGGGGAGAATCACTAGGTCAACCTGGCACGTGAGCCCGCTGTTCCTGCCAATGAAACAGTTGGGTTGAAAATGTTAGTTATTTGAGTAGGTATTTCAGAATAGCTTTGAAGCGGAAAAAACCCTAAGACTAAAAACAGATTTTTTAAAAAAGGCACTGCTTCCCCTATTTCTCACTGGATTTGCACAGTGTCTTTGGGTGATCAGATCTAACCCTGAGCCTCGACTTTTGCCTGAAAATATGATGCCGATCACCCTTTCTCTGTTCATAGTCATTCCCGTCCTTTGACCCTGACTTGCTGTGTAGTCTACTCCTGATTTTTCTGAATCTTGCCCTTAAATTTCATTCTTTCACCTCCCCAGTGGCTATTCGCACTTGACTGCACATACACAGCAGCGGTGGCACTGCTTTGGTTTGGTTTCACTTTTGCCTCTTTAACCACAAGGTGGTTATCCCCCGGCATCTGGCCGCCACGGCCGGACTTTGCATCTCTGCAAAAGATCTCATAACTCACGCCCCAGTGGCTTCCCCTGACCTTGCGTGCACCGTCTCACTTTCTAAATCTCTTGGGCCACAGCTTCTGTGCCATATTCTCCCTTCCCTGCACACTCCTCATTGTGGGGAGCAAACCGGACTAGACTGAGCTACTGGAATTAAGACTTATTCTATGCATCTGCTCTCCCACAATATGGCGCTGGGAGAGAAGTAAACAGCTTCTGCACAGCTGCCTCCAGTTCAACTAATAAACTGTAGGACTCGCTACTGATTGGAGGAGAGCAGCGTACTCGGCGTGTGGGCAGCCGAGTTGGGATTGGCGGAGGAGGACTATAAAGGAGGAGAGAGACGGCATGCACCAGGAACATCTATGGGGAACATCTAGCTGAAGGAACACCTGTGCAGCCCCCGAGAGAACCGGCCGGCGGTGTGCCGCTCCCCTGCGGAAGTGGGGAATGTGGCAGGGGGAACCGCCCTTCCACGGAGGTGGAAGGGACAGTAGCCAACCCGGGAAGAACCAGCAGCAAACCCGGGGAGGGCCGAGCAGACGAAAGAACAGCGCAGGGTCCTGTGTCGTTCCTCCACAAAGAGGGGGAGCGACACTCATGAAGCAGAGGATGTTACATTTATGGAAGAAACAGGATGTGCACAAACCTGACATGTTAGAGGGAAGGGGACAACTCACATAATTTAATACAGAGATCCTGGGGAGCACATACCTGGTGGAAACTGTTTGTAGATCAAGAAGACCCATGTAAGGAAGTGATAGCTGACTTGAGATTGAGAGAGAACTCGCCCTGGAAACTTAAGAAAAGTGTATTCTAGACACAGAAAAACAACAGATACAAAGTCTTGAAGCAAGAAATACCTGGGATGGGGCTGACGCTGCGGTGTGGCGGGCTAAGCCACTGCTTGCCACGTTGGCATCCCGTATCAGAATGTCGGTTCAGGCTCAGCCTGCTGTGCCTCTGATGAAACGTTTGTGGAGCACAGTAGATCAGTGTCGAAAGGAGGTTACACAGGAGCCAGTGCTGTGGCGCAGTAGGTTAAAGCCCTGGCCTGAAGCGCCAGCATCCCATATGGGTGCCGGTTCTAGTCCCGGCTGCTCCTCTTCTGATCCAGCTCTCTGCTATGCTCTGGGAAAGCAGTAGAAGATGGCCCAAGTGTTGGGCCCCTGCACACCCATGTGGGAAACCTAGAGGAAGCTCCTGGCTCCTGGCTCCTGGCTTCGGACCGGCTCAGCTCCAAATGTTGCTGCCATCTGGGGAGTGAACCAGAAGATGGAAGACCTCTCTCTCTCTCTCTCTCTCTCTCTCTCTCTGTAACTCTGTCTTTCAAATAAATAAAATAAATCTTAAGATATCTAGATAGATAGATAATAGATAGAGAAAAGAAAGGAGGTTACACAAAGGGATAGAAGATCTGGAAATCAAGAGAGAAGTCCAAATTGTTGACATAAATATTGGAGTCACCAATAGAGAGATTACATTTAAAACCGTGAGACTGACCAAGATCAACAAGGGAGAACATAGGTAAAGAACAGAAGGAAGCCAGGAAAAACCCAGGTAACCCTCAGGGCACCATAGTTAGAGCTCAACCCTGGGAGGTGCAGTGGGAGGGATATCAATGGGATGCGCAGGAGGCCAAGCGAAGAAAACTTCAGAGCCTGGCATTGTGGTGCAGCTGGTTAAGCCACCACCTGAAACAGTGGCAACCCATATAAGTGCCAGTTCAAGTCCCAGCTGCTCCACTTCTGAACCAGCTCCCTGCTCATGCTCCTGGGAAGGCAGTAGAAAATGGCCAAAGTACTTGGGCCCCCACCACCCACATGGGAGACCCAGATGAAGTTTCTGGTTCCTGGCTCAGCCTGACCCAACCTTAGTCATTGCAGCCATTTGGGGAGTGATCCAATGGATGGAAGATATCTCTTTGTCATTCTGCCTTTTAAATAAATAAATAAATCTTTTTTAAAAAAGAAGAAAATCTTCAAATCAGAAGCCCGAATGGAGAAAATTATAAATCTTCCTTTGCAGGCCTCTTGTACAAAACAGATTGAAAGTTTTGCCACCTTTTTCAGTTTCCAAACCACCTGTGGACTTACCAGAACACCTGGGATATAATGAGCATCCTGCCTCAGAGAATGAATCCAACACCCCACACAAACTACTGCTAGCCAGGTTATCTCAGAAACAGAAATCCAACCGCAATTCAGGTTCAATTCATAAGGGCAAAACCATTGCCACATCACTTTTGGGCGAGTCTCATTTGTGGGTGAGTCTTGGTAAAGATTTGAGACTAGCTGCTTATTGGTAGAGAACCAATATTGTCCTTAGACAGCATATACCTCACTACCAAAACGGTGATGTTCTGGAAGCAGCATTAAGCCACCTGCAACTTACAGTCATTGGTCCAACTGCTCCACTTCTGATCCAGCTCCCTGCTAATGTGCCTGGGAAAGTAGTGGGAGGTGGCCCAAGTACTTGGGCCCCTGCGCCCCCTGTGGGAGACCCAGATGGAGTTCCAAGCTCCTGGCTTCAGCCTGGTCCAGCTCCGCCTATTGAGGTCATTTGGGAAATGAACCAGAAGATGAAAGATCTTTCTCTGTGTCTCTCCTATTTTCTCTGTAACTCTGCCTTTCAAATAAATAAAAAAAGTTCTCTTTCCTTTTCCATTTACTTATTTTATTTGAAAAACAGAGATCTCCCATTTACTTCACTCCCCAAATGCCCAATTGAATTGTGAACCTAATCCAGGTCCCCTAGACAGGTGACAGAAATGCAAATACTTGAGCCATCGCCTGCTGCCTCCCAGAGTGTACATTAGCAGGAAGCTGGACTTGGGATCAGAGGCAGGACTCAAATCCAGGCACTCCCACAGGGAATAGGAGCATCCTAAGTGGTGTCTTACTTGCTGCACCAAATATCCACCCCAGCTTTCACCTTTTTTGAGCAAATAAAAAAAAAGCTTGCTTAGATATATAGGAGAATATTACTGTTTTAAAAAACAATCTCTGGGGCCAGTGCTGTGGCATAGCGGGTAAAGTTGCCGCCTGCAGTGCTGGCATCCCATATGGGCGCCAGTTCGAACCCCAGCTGCTCTACTTCCGATCCAGCTCTCTGCTATGGCCTGGGAAAGCAGCAGAAGGTGGCCCAAGTCCTAGGACCCCTGCACCTGTGGAAGAAGCTCCTGGCTCCTGGCTTTGGATCGGCGCAGCTCTGGCTGTTGTGGTTATCTGGGGAGTGAACCAGAGGATGGAAGACCTCTCTCTCTCTCTCTCTCTCTATCTCTCTCTCTCTCTTTCTCTTTCTCTCTCTCTCTCTCTCTCTCTGCCTCTGCCTCTCTGTAACTCTGCCTTTCAAATAAATAAATAAATCTTAAAAAAAAAAAAACCTCCAAGCTACAACAGTGAAGTCTTTCCTTTTTTACATGTAATGTTTTTCTAAAGTCAACATAGGCTCCTTGAAGACATTTTTGCCGAAGGCTTCAAGCTGGATCCTGTGAGCCATCAGTCTTAGGAAGAGGCCATGGAACAGTGGGACAGCCAAGGAGCCAGGGGCCTCCGACTCACCTTCCTCCTGCTCTCATCTCAGTGTCCGTGGATGCCCCACTGCGGGGAATGGGAGGGCAGAGTGTCAGGAACTGGGTTTATTTCTGAAACTTCAAGTTGTGCGGCTGCCATCAGTGTAAAAGACCTGGCTGAAATGCACTTTTCATCAAGTTCTCACCCGAAGGTTTGACTTGGGGGAGGAAAGGAAATGCTATAGCAGCAAATGGAATTTTCAGTGAAGTCAAGTCTACGGAGAACATTTCTGAGAACACAGTTTATTTTCCGTGTTGCCAAGGTAACTGGAACATCTGCCCAAGCAGTCTTAGACACATCCTGCATGGACATGAAGGCGTGATCATTTGTATGCAGACCTGTTTCTACCTGCTCTTCCACTGGCGATGACTAGAACAGGTAATGTGTCTGGAAGCGAGGTTGATACATTAGATGTGTCACCATGCAGTTGTAAAAACTTTCTGTTTTCTAAGAAAGTGGAAGAAATATTCTTATGCAGGAAGGAGAAAGAACGCCGAGAGAAGAAAAGCATTCATTGACAGTATGAGCAAGTACATTTCTTTAAAGGCAAAAAATGAGAGGAAATGGAATTTTGGGCAGATAGGCAGGAAGAGCCCAGCCTGTAAGAGATCAGAGCTAAGTAGACTGATCCACTTTACCATGAGGAAGCGTGCAGTAGGTACGGTAGATTTGGGCATGAGCCTGGAAAGCGGGTGTTTCTGGGTTCCAATCTCTGCTCTGCCATTGCTAGTGAAGCAAGTTACGTCTCCAGCGGGCCTCGGACTGCTCCTCTCTGCCTCTTGTCACTCACCTTACAAGTTTAGGTGCATTGGGAGACAATCCATGTAAGCAATTACTCAGAGTAATTGGCACAGGGTAAATTCTCAATTAATGAAAATAACAGCAATTACAAATGAAAACTCATTAAGAGAGATCTGGATGACAAAGAGATTAAAATTATGTCATATGGTAAGCCAAAATTTTTATCATGGAGACAACAGATTCAAGCGCTCCCTTTGATTATGTGACGGGCTGTCCAGTGGAAAGTGGATTTTAACGTGTTACAATAGGGGTGGGCATTTGGTCTAGTGGTGAAGACACCCAAGTCCCTTATTGGAGTATGTGAGTTCAAACCCTGTCTCCGGCTCCTGACTCCAGTTCCCTGCTTTTTATTTATTTTTTATGCAAACTCTGGGAAACAGCAGTGATGATTCAAGTAGTTGAGTCCCTGTCACCCACATGGGAGACCTGGATTGCGTTCCTGGCTCCTGGCTTGTGGCTCTGGTCCCAGCCATTGCAAGCATTTAGGGTGTGAACTAGCAGATGGGAGCATTCTCTCTCTCTCTCTCTCTCTCTCTCCCTTAACTACAAAACCAAAAAAAAAAAAAAAACAGAAAGAAAAATTATTTTTATTAATATAAAGAAAATAGATTACATGTATTTCATAATACAATTCTAAGATAACCATACTTCCCTCCCACTCTCCCTCCCTCAATGCCCCCCAGAAAGAAAACTTTTTAAACATTTCAAGTGTTCTTTAGATCAGGATGACAGCTAAAGAGAGACATGCCACAGCACTGTGTGTGGAAGACTTTCCGTCTGAAGCAGCCTTGGCAAGCACTGCATTCACTCCCCAGGACGAGTTGCTCTGGCAAAGGGAATGACCTCTGGCAAAGCTGTTGTCAGGGCGCTAGGCCCTGGACTGGGTTCTTGTAAGGACTCCTTGAAGCACTGGAATTTCAGTCGCTTTGTCCAGCTGCTCTCTGGGAATATTAGCAAATATTTATTGATCGTCTGTTGAGCGCCACGATGGGGTCGGGGTAGAAAAGAAGGGGGACAAAGAAACAGAGCACAAAGTTCCTTTCTTTGAACTTTCATTTCCAATATCCTTGGGCAAACAAGATACAAAATTCAGCTTAATTCAATAAATATTTATTAAAGCTCACACTTTATTAAAGCCTATGATTATTGGTAGAAATTCAAAGAGAAATTTAGACAGCCCCACGGATCCTGGGGATGCATATAACAAACAGAACAAGTCATTTAAACAGCAAGAGGGTGCACACCAAGGGCTAGATGCAATTTCGTATTATTCATTCTATAGGAGTTCAAAGGAAAGAAAAATCCTTTATTTTTAGCTTAATTATATATAATTACATTCAATCAGTAAAATCCAAGTGAAGGCTTTGTATGCACAACTCTCCTGACTAATCTCAATATAGTGTTTTGTATTTTGACCTGAGGACTTGCAACAGGCAGGGCTACGAAACAGACGTGGGAACTCACCAGACTTCCACCAGGAGAGGAAAGAAAGGCAAGGCCTCCAGCCTCCCTGAGTAGGAACAGTGAAGGCAGGAGACAGGAAAACAGCAAGTCGGCAAAATGTCCTCTGCTGGGCATGGTGACCAGCTACAACAATCTCACTAACTTGTCCTGGTTTTGTTTGGTTGCTTTGTCATTACATAGGTAACTTAAAGATTACCCCATCCTGTGATTAGTCCTTAGCATGTCCAATTCATAATCGTCCATCTTTATCCTTTTCTTTGCAAGGATTTCTGTCTTCCTTCCTTAGAAAAAGAACAAAGAAGAAAGAAAGTAATAGCTGAGCCTCTTCATCAGACATTCTATATATGGTGTCCATTTCCATTAGAAAAAGGATTATGTATTATTACCTCCAGTTTATCAGTGCACAAAGGGGCACACACTGGTGGAAAGAACTTGTCCAAGGTAACACAATGCAGAAGAAAGAACTCAAATTTAGACCCACGTAGCCCCGAGGCCCAAAGTTTTGCACTACCTTCCACTGTTTTTCCTTTGCGCCTTACTGTACACACGCTAGGTGTTGATGGCGATGAAGATGATGATGGCGAAGGTGATGAAGATGATGGTGATGAGGATGTTGATCCCAATATACTGACGACCTCAACCACAGAGCAAGTTCTCACGGTTCCAGGAGCAGCTGCAGGACAATGTCAACATTCAACACAAGAGGGACCTGTAGCACCAGCCTACAGGAAAACAGAGAATTCTAAAGAATGTCTAGCGCTGGGGAATCCCAGGAGAGAAGCAGTGTTGGCTGGCAACAGAGTTGCTGCCTCCCATATGACCAGCTCAATATTTCATGTTTACCCTTCCCTGACTTAAATGTCAACTATTATGCTCTGGCTGAATTGAAATGAGTCTGCTAACAAGACATTAAGAGGCAGTTTTCCATGGCCTTCAACAAAGCCACACTTGGCTTAGTCGGGCATGATTTTATTAGTAGTTTATATAGATTACATACAGAAACTTGATTTTCATGAAAAATGTTTTTAAAGTAAATCAATCCCTGGAGATACTTCTTTCTGAATTGGAGACAAGGAATTTCCTAGTTTAACCCCAGGAACAAGCTCAGCATTCTCATACGGCAAAGGTAGTCGAATAAGGCCACAGTGTCCCCAGCTGGGCTGTGTGTTCTTAGGAGTGGGAGAGAGGGAGGGAAGAATATAAGAAATCCAAAGAGAGGGGAAAATAGAATGGGAAACAGATGGTCTTGGACTTCCAAACCGGAAACTTTCTTTTTCTTTTTGGGGGTTGGTTGTTTACTGTTTATCATCTGAACTGAAAACAGGATACAGATAAAACTGACTTTAATTAACCATCCACAGAGCTGGTGGATGCAAGTCCAGCCAGCTGCTCCCTCTGTGGTGGGCTAGCAGGAGGGGAGCTCTGGGATCCTTTGCCCCATCCCATATGGCCCTGGGTCCTGCTGGCCAGTGGTGCCTTCCAGTTTAGAGCTGGTTCAGGCTAACTGGGAGACTCTGGTCCTTGGTTTGGGCCCTGTGTGTGGTCTTCACACTCAGCCCTACCTATGGAGTGATGAGTGCAGAGGCCTGTGGGTCCCAAACACAAAGGACGAATGTTCAGTTTCCGAAGGTAAGACTTGCTATCTGCCAAGTTGCAGTTCCGTATTTCCATCTTGCTGCTATACCGTATTTTTTTTTTCAAATGCAGCATATCCCCTGGCCCTAAATTGGATTCTCTCCATGAATGACCAGTCTCTGAGACTGGCATCACCGTTTTCTTAGCCATCTAGGTTCATTCACCTCCCATGTTGCTCTAAGTTTCTCCCAATCCTCTAGAAGGGGCAGATCTACTTCCAAATATCTTAAAATCTAATTTTTCATTTTCGACTGTGCTGCCAACATCCTATGCAAAACGTTTCTCACCTGGATTTTTGCAACATCAAAATCAGTCTTCCTATATTCCTGAAGCTAATGTATATTTTATGCCAGAATTTTCCTTGAGAAATGAATGGGCACCATTTAAAGATAAAAATATCTGTAGCCTTGCAGCTGTTTTTATTATGATATTGTATTATGATATTGTTTACATAAAAGTAGGTATGAATATCTTTTAGCTATAGTGCTTATATTACTTTAAAGCCAAAAAGGTTTACATTAGATGAAGTCTAATTATAAAACTAATGCAATTAACATTTGTAATTTAAAGTAATGATGTGTTTTACTGAGACTAGTAATACCAAAAGGTGAATTTATGTTTCACTGCTTGCCACTTAATTCTTTCCATTTTGAGTATGATGAGCTACTGTCACACTGTAGACTTAGCAATGACTGCTTTTAAAACTATCCCTGAGTTTACTGTTTTTAATACTATCTCCTATAATTCTAAAAAAAATCAATTGTTTATGACATATTTACTTGCTAATGAACACTTGCAAGTTACACGTAAGAAGAAGATAGCCCACCCTCCAGGTGTTGCATGTCTCAGTTTGTTTGGAATCAAGATGCCAGTGCGTCCATGTGCCAGCTAGGAATGCAGTGTCCTCACTCCTGTGTATTTTAGCTGCTCCACCACCTCTGCTTCTCTCTGGCACAGGGACAGCACATGGCCTCAGCTAGGTGTCCAGGCTTTCGTAAGCACCAATTCAAACACAAAAATAAAGTCCACAAGGGCAAGGCTTGTTTTTCCTCACTTCTTATCATTGAAGACATTAAGCATGCAGGAACACAAGGACAATAGCACAATAGGTGTCCTTGTCCCCTTCACCCAGCAATTGTCACCTTCTGGACAGTCCTGTGTAATCTATGTCTTCACCCATGTCCCTCCATTCATTGTCTCCCTTGGCTATTTTAAAGCAAATCCCAGATACCGTGTCAGTTCATAGAAGGGGTTTTCAAATAGTTCATAGAAACTGCATATTGTGAAAAAAAAAAAAACTAAGCATGCATTTCACAAAGCATTTGCACTAAAATAAACCCATCTTTTAATTCTATTTTTCTGCAAGTGTTTTGAAGTACCATCATATAAAAATTTTTCAGTATACATCTCTTAACTAAATAAAACTCCTTTCAGGACACAGTCATAACACCTAAAGGAATCACAGTAACTTCTTAATAAATATCCAGTTAGTGGCCAAATTTTTGGAGGAATATTTCTGTTTTGTCTACTGCAATATATTCAATAGTTAGAACAATGCCTAGCACGTAATACCTGCTCAGTATTTCTTGAGTGAAGAAATAGACATTTTACTTGAATGACAGAATTCTGTTACATAATGAAATATTCAAAGGCTCAAAAATAGCATATTTTAAGATTATCATTAAGAGAGAAATGCGTAATTTGATGGAATTACCATATGACCCAATAATTGCACTTCTGGGTATGTACCCAAAAAACTTGAAAGCAGGGTCTCAAAGAGATTCTCAGATACCTCTGTTCAAATCACAACAGCTAAAATAGAAGTAACAAACCCAGGTACCCTATAAATGGATGGCTGAACAAAATGGGGTATATACACACAATGGAGTGTTACTCAACCTTAAACAAGAAAGAGGGACTCGTGTTGTGGCACAGCTGGTTAAGCCACTGACTGGGATGCCGGCATCCCACACAAGTTCTGATTTGCATCCTGGAAGCTCCACTTCCAACCCAGCTTCCAACTAGTGCACCTGGGAAGATAATGTAAGATGGCCCAAGTGCTTGGACTCTGGCTGACGTAGGTGGGCATATAAGATAAAATTGATTAGATTCGTGAGCTAGAAGACTTCACCTTCACTAAGTCCCCGGTGTGATCTCATGCCCCTACCTGACCACACCTGTATGCCCATCTGCCAATCAGGCTGCATAACCACTCCCTTTTGGAAATGGATTAAAGGCCTGAAACACTGTGGGCCACCCAGCCCCTTTTGCCCTTTTTTCACTATATGGACCTTTGTTGCCCTGTGTCTTCAGGGTGCATGGCCTTCGGGGCACCCTCCCCCTTCACTGCCTGTGATAAGCTGCTTGTAGCTGCTCAAAACCAAACACCTGCCGCACATGGCGTTTGGCCTGCTTTCTCCTTGGTATGGATTCCAACTGAATTTCTGGACTTTCCTTTCTCCCTTAGATTAACACCTTCAGTCTCCTGTGCATTTCTCTCACTAAATAAAAAGCTTTAAAACTCACCCTGCTGCCTGGTTTATTTGAGCCAGTGTTCAGAATTCTTCTCTGAATTCATGGGAAGAGCCCACACAGCCTATTAATATGGAAATATTAATAGACAAATTGGTATCATGGCCACCCAGGTGCAGATCTGGATGGTGTTCTGGCTGTTGCAACTCTGGCTGTTGCAACCATCTGGGAAGTGAACCAGTGAATGGCAGATCTCTTCCTGTCCCTCTCCCCATAACCCTGCCTTTGAAATAAATAAATAAATCTTTTTTTTTTTAAAGGAAGGAAATTCTGATACCTGCTACTTGCTAAAACATGGATGAATTTTGATATCCACTTTGCATGGTTGCTATTGCTAAATGAACTAAGCTAGTCACAAAGGGACAAATACTCTTTCCGCTTATATGAGGTATCAAGAGTGGTCAAATTCATAGAGACAGGAAGTATAATGGTGCCTGCTGGGGATGGTAAAGGGATTGGGGAATTATTGGATATAGAGTTTCCGTTTTACAAGGATCAGCATTCTGGAGATAGGTGGTGATGATGGTGTACATTATGAATGTATTTAGTATCACTGAACTGTTGAGGTGGTAAACTTTATGTTCCATATTTTTCACTTTTTATTTATTTTTTAAAGATTTATTTTGGGACCGGCACCGCAGCTTAATAGGCTAATCCTCCACCTGCGGCACCGGCACACCAGGTTCTAGTCCCGGTCGGGGCACCGGATTCTGTCCCGGTCGCTCCTCTTCCAGTCCAGCTCTCTGCTGTGGCCCAGGAGTGCAGTGGAGGATGGCCCAGGTCCTTGGGCTCTGCACCCGCATGGGAGACCAGGAGAAGAACCTGGCTCCTGGCTTCGGATCAGCGTGGTGCACCAGCCGCAGTGTGCCAGCTGCAGCGGCCATTGAGGGGTGAACCAACGGAAAAGGAAGACCTTTCTCTCTGTCTCTCTCTCTCACTGTCCACTCTGCCTGTCAAAAAAAAAAAAAAAAAAGGAAAAAGAAAAAAACATTTATTTTGGAAGAGTTACAGAGACAAAGAGACAGAGAGATCTTCTATCTGCTGTTTTGCTCCCCAGATGGTCCCAATGGCCAGGACTGAGCACGGGCCAAAGTCAGGAACCAGAAGCTTCATTTGGGTATCCCACGTGGGTGGCAGGGGCTCAAGCACTTGGGCCATCTTCTGCTGCTTTTCTCAGGCCATTAACAGGGTGCTGGATCAGAAGTAGAGCATCCTGGACACAAACCAGCACTCATATGGGATGCCAGCATCACAGGCAGCAGCTTTATTTGATATGCTGCAACACTGGCCCTGCTACATGTTGTTTTAGTAGAATAAAAAATTGGAGGAAAAAGCATTTTGAAACTACTGTAGGATTCTCAGAGCACTGAGAATACATTCAGAAACCCCAGTGTGAGTAACAGCACAGTGCAGAGATCACGCCAAGTAATTCCTCAAGTTCCTGTTAGGACTCTACTGATCTTAAAAACCTTTAGTGCTCCCCATTACTTGAACTTGGCCTTTGGGCACTGTCTTTGTCTGTTCTGCTGCAGCAGAATACCAGATGCTAGGTCAA